ATTTCTTCTCATCAATATAATTATATTATATATATATATATATATTATATGTATTTACATTTACATATACATACATATATATACATATAGACAAACACACACATATATATATATATATATTATGGAAAAAAGTGAATTCATACATCGCATGCAACATACCATGGATGACAAGAATTGCACAAGGCCCGGGACTAAACGCTCGTTGTGAATGTTCGTCGTCGAATCGATCTGCATCTGCGGAAATCAGTAGCGAACACTTTTTTGTTAAAGAATATGAAAAAAAGACACAGTGCACCTCTCTATTTGAAAATACAGCGAACTAGCAATACAAATACTAGTGTAGAGCACTATATCCAGAAACTTGGTTTTTAGAGGCTTGGTCAACTTGGGCGCTAGGCAGTGGGTTCTAGTTTTTTGATACAGATTGCCGTATCAATAGTGCCATCTCGCGCACACAGCAATACGCCCGGAGTGGAATGGTTACCTGTATAGTTGAGTAGTGATGTATGTGATGCTACATTCGTATCTGCATATATTTACATATGTGTATGTGTGTGTGAGTGTATGCCGGAGTGTAGGGAACGCTATCCAAATAAACAGTAATATGCAAGTATGTGTACGTGCCCTCGGTTGCGGGTAACGATACATATATAACACACGTGCATATACATGTGCTCAGAGCATACTACTACTGTATTGGTACGTCTACTATTCATAGAAATAGATAAACAGCCAGAGACCAAACCATGCGCATATACTGCTACACTTACTTCGTTGTCACCAGCATCCTGATCCTCAGTCGCAGGGTTAAGGAGCAGTTGTATGGTGCGCACTATCAGCTTAGTCACGTCGTCTGTGTTCACTATATCATCCTCCATCACCCACCCACGCAGATCTGTGAAGTGATTTATGCAAATGGGATTAGAATAGAGATAAACAACAAAAACATTCGAAAATAGAACACTGAGTGTATGATATATATGTATATGTATATGTATATGTATATATATATATACATATATATAT